TTTATGATGTTGGCTGGTTTCCGATACAAAGTTTCTTCTACAGTCCTGCCCACTACCATAAAATTACTGAACTACCTAAGAATATCCAGAATTGCCTTCTACGTTGTGTCAATAAACTCTTGTAATGTCAGGTGGTTCTTTAAATTTTTAGAATCTTGATTGATGCTATGTCACTGAAAATTGCTTTGTACCACTTGACACCAGTTGACCTTAAGGTTTTGCCTTGAGGTCCAGCTGAAGTATCTTGGAGTTTTAAGAGTAAAGCTGAGATTCCTCCCTTGAACATCTCCACAGAATTTATTTCTGTTGGACACACTCCAGCGTGGCCTCCAATAATAAACTAAATGGAGATAACCTGAAATGTGGTTCATATATCCAGCCCTAGCACTTCAATAAATGAGCATTTAGCCTACCATTTTATAAAATCATTTGCCATAGTAATAATTTAACGCCTACATTTTTTACAAAGTCTTTCAATTAATATTGAGTGCTTGAAGAGCAGGTACAATGAATGGTCTCTGAATCCTCTGTACTCGGTACTGGGCCAGGCACATAAAAAAAATGCTCAGTAGATGTTTGTTTAAGTGGGTTTGTTTTGACATTATGCTAGGCTCCCAGGAAAAGCAAGTGGTTGCAAGTTGCTAACTATCTTAGTTCACAAAATTGAGTTATACCTGGGTCTTTATAATGCTCAAATAGATTAGATTTAATTGCTAGTTACCTTTAGCAGTTTCACAATCTCAGATTATTTTGCCAAAGAGTAGCATATGTAGGGGACATTCACAGCTCAAAAATCAATCGGTAGAATGACACAGTCATCAAATATCATTGTTGTTTTAAAAAGGCTGAGAGATGTGAAATTAAGAGCAGGTAAAGATGGAGTAGGAGCTTCACAGAATCATTTATCATTTTTTCTCCTGGCTCTGGCCCAGTCCTTGGGCAGACATCTCTATCCAGTCATCACTATGGTTTGCACATTCTCCTTGCACTCTAATGGCTGTTTTTGACCAAAAAAATAAAAGCGATTGTGGATCTAAGCTGTTCACATAGTTGCATGCGAGAAATATGAACTTGGAAACTCAGACTATGCACCTTGGTTCTTATTCTGCTTTTGATTCTCAGCTTTCTGTCTTTGGGACAGCTTTTTATAGATGATATTACATCTCCAGGGCCTAATTCATACAAACATTAGCTTGTGATGGATAAAACAAATGTGAGATCTTATAATAAATAAATAGCACCGTTTCATATGAACCAGAACACTAAGAGACCTGAATATAAAATACAATATGCTCAGAAATATAGGGACCATAACTGTGGAAAGAAAAGATGTGCCACAGTGAGTTCAGAAATATGATTTAGCAAATGAGCCAGACAATAAAAGCATTTTAAAAGAGAACGCTCTGAACCCACTGAAGCAATTTCTAATAGGTGATTTGCATTTCTAAAGAGCTCACGTGAATTTGTGGGGCCCCACACTGGACCATGCAAAGTAAATCTCCTGATTCGAGTGAGAATATTTTTACTATATTTGACAAACAAATGTATTAGAATTTTTATATACAGAAGTAATAATTGGTGTCTGTATATTACTACAGTCTTCAATGGTATTTTATTTCAGAATAACTAGAAATGTTGTGATTATGAAATATTTAAATTTTGAACCACTATCACTAATGTTTACTAAATGAAATTAAAACCTCATTTATTCGCAGTATCATGAGAGAATGAAACAAAAATAATGATGTTTCTAAATAGGAGAAATGGATCTCCTTTGGTGAATTTTATTTTGAAATATTTTGAGTTGCAACCGTAAAATATATTAAATCTTTCTTTGTCTTCTTAAGGCATATGCTCTGGACTACCCATATGAGCCTTCACCATGAGGTTAAGCTTCTCTCTGATATTTAGGCCAGTGAGGAAAGAAAGAACATTGACTTACGTTGTGTTACAACATAGCATGTTGGTTTCATGTGGCCTTATTCTTGTCACTTTATCCATTAAAAGGATATTATATTGTGTATAATTGATTTTAATACCATAAAAAAAATTCTGTGTTGCTTATAATGCCTACCTTACTGGTTTATTGTAAGGGTAAAATAAAAATTCATATAAATGTGCATTGAACCTGGCATGTGCTCAATAAATGTTGGCTCACGTAACATGATATTTGTTACAGATAGAGTTCCCTGGGAAGCATCCTCAAAAATGGAGCTTAGTGTGCAGCATGTCTTTACAAAGTGCTCTTGAGATCAACCCCTGTAGAAGAGAGAGGAAGGAAGCAGGAGTGGGCAGAGGGAGAAGTCCAGTTATAACTCAGTCCTCAAATCAGCTCTGGCTAACCTTGTAGGGAGCTCTGGAGCTAGCATGACCCTTTAGACTTGGCCCCACTTGGGCCTGGATGGCCAGGCTCCTTCCACATTGGTCAGTTACTGGATGTGGGCCACTTGGGAAGAGTGTGACCTTGGCGAGGCAGCTCTCCACCACTGAGGCAATCTCTACAGGATCAGAGTGTTAGGGCCAGACTAGGATGAGGTGAGTAAGGCGGTCTCCTCAGTGCAAAATTTAAGAGGGTACCGAAAACTCAGTGATCAAGATAACTAATACTTTAAAGCAATATTATTTTTTAAAAAATAAAATTTATGCAAAGAAATCCACGATGAACAAAATATCAAAGTTTAAATAAAGACAAGCTGTTGTTTGTTTATTTGATGGTCCTGTGAAGAAAACAGTCATTTCCTATTAGACGGTGGTTCTCAGGTCCTCACCAGGGTTGAGTCTTCACTGGGCAGGTTTATGACAATTGACAATTTTTTTTTTTTTTTTTTTAAACAAAATTCTGCATTTTTATAAAACTTGATAAAAAATAGTATTTCAAACTGTACAGTCACCAGAAGTACACAGTTATCAAAAATGCAAATAGATTGGGCAGTGCAAGACTCTATTCATAGTCATGTTTTTATTTTTGACTTTTAGATTAGCTTTTTCCACTTAGTTCAAAATATGGGAAGATATTTTGATACGTGTTTATAGGGGCACGTATTTTCCTTTTGTTTCAGGCTCCTGTACAGCTGCAAAGGGCATTGTTGAGCATTCAAGGTTATCTGCCAGCAGCATTCCCACCTTCTGGGGCAAGTTCTTCACTGAAAGGAGATATGGGAAGCCCAAAGTGTCCCCCACAACATCCTGAATAGTTGAATAATTGAAAATATCACCCAACAATGAGGTTTTGGTTTATAGTGAGTAATGAATATACTCAGCTTCAGATTTTAACCTTTATCACAGGTAAAAAGATTGACCAAACTTGCTTATCATTTATCAATACCGCTTGCTAATATTTAATATATTAGGTATGGGTGGGCCTTAGATTTATGTGACAAATGAGTGATTTGGGTTCTATCCTCTCTTGTAAAAACAACAACTAACTGACTACATGCTAACCACTTATTGGTCTCCCAGAATTTCACTTTCCTTCGTAAAATGAGGAAGCTATGGTATCAGGTAATTTTTCAAGTCTCATCCAACTTTCAGTTTTAATATCTGATTATTTACACTCTTGAGGATGATCAAAGACCATCCATTAAGAACAGAAATTCTGGGGCCGGCCCCATGGCTTAGCAACCGGTTAAGTGCGTGCACTCCGCTACTGGCGGCCCGGGGTTTGGATCCGGGCGTGCACTGACGCACTGCTTTTCCAGCCATGCTGAGGTGGCATCCCACATACAGAAACTAAGAAGGATGTGCAACTATGCCATACAACTATCTACTGGGGCTTTGGGGAGGAAAAAGGGGAAAAAAGGAGGAGGATTGGCAATAGACGTTAGCTCAGGGCCGGTCTTCCTCAGCAAAAAAGAAAAAGAACAGAAATTCTTTTGTGTTGGGAACCCAGCAAATCCTTCAGAACTGAACTTCATAGAATTGTTTGTTACCACCCAAAATGGCACCAGCCCATCACATATTATGAATTACTGCTGTTTATTTTAGTTCTCTCATTATATGGTCATCTGAATATTGGATATTATTAATTGGTGGTATAATTATGCCTAATTGTAATTATCTTCGTCACCAATCTACGTTATTTTTTTCCAAACTTCTTGAGATTGGATACTCGGCTTGATATAATTGCCTAAAACTGTGTTTACTAAAGAGGTCAGAGGCTTGGGGGACCAGAATTCAAATGAATTCTGAGAGAATGACTTAATGATATCCTTCCAGAAATTCACAGAATGGAGCAACAGATTAAAGCTTCTGAGAAGAGAAATTAGGTGGTAAACAAACCTGTTAAAATTTTGTTTAGTGTTTCATTTTTTGTGCATATTTCCCCAAAAGGTTTCTTTGCTCAATGAACACCTATTATCACAGACTATGAGGAAAGCTGATGTAACATGAAAATAAATAACATTTGAGGGAGGGACTTGATGGCTCTTCTTTGAGTGAAGTGCATGAAATTCGTGCAGAGTTATCTTTGCTATTTCTTGGATTTGCGTACGATCATTGAGATGGCAAGAGAATTAGCCTCTGGTTTTGTGACATACATAGAATTCAGCTGTCAATTTGCTATACAAAGCTAGAAAATGAAAACCAAATAAGTAACAATTGGTGATTAATGGCTCTTGTATTACTAATGTTATCTATGCTTGGCAGAATTGAATACCCATCTAGAAGAACTGCTGCTTTTAATTTCCCGTGTCTCAAAATGTCAATGTATAACCATGAGCATGGTGATTCCCTTGGTTCTAATTCCCCAATGTGAAGAAGAGGAAAAATGGTTCATTTCACAAGTGGTTTTCAGGAGGAAGTAAATTCTCAAAGTGCAAAGAGTGATTGATTAACAGTGTTGAGTTTGTTTGTGGGAGAACTTGTCTGACTTGTTACCCTGGCTGGCTGAGTAGAATGGTTAGCAGAGAAAAAGACAAGAAACACACACACACATACAGAAGTGTCAACCAAGCAAATCACATTTGGGAGCCCACTGCTGTGACTTCATAGCCCCCTCATATTCCGTCATGTGGTGTTCAGAGCTTGCTGTACGGAGTGTGGTTTTTAATTTTTGGCAATTTCATCCTTTCTTTAAATACTCGTGTCATGTTTGTGCTGTTGTCAGTGCTTCTCAGACCCTCCAGAAGAGGTAAGAAAATGGTTCTAATACATAAAAGTCTTTCTGTTTTATAAAATTCATTTTGTGTGGGGAATCTTACCAAAATTGGATGCATGTTCATCTCTATCAGTTGAGTACTCATTTCATAGGCCAAAAGATGTGGGTAGACACATACAGATGGCGTCATGCTTCAATATAGTAATTTTTTTCTGTAAGGGGACACTTTAAGCAGTGTGGTTTTCAAAAGCTAAAGCCTAAGCTAAAAATACCCTACTATATTAATAGGAGCCTATTGACTATACTTAGGAATGCCCTAATGCCAAAATAGTTCACCGAAATGCCACAGTGTGTCACAAGAGAAAATAATAATTAGTACTCAAGGAGCCACATAAGTCCTACATTTAACTGCTATAACTAACTGGAAATATATATATATAATTTAACATCAGACTATCTTTTAAAAACCCTATTTATTAATTTATTTGCTTGCTTGTTTGTTTATTGGGAGCATAAAATCAGAATTGGAATGGTATTCATTGTTTGCATTTGTAAGTTGTACAGTAGAAACCATTAAGTCAGTAAATAGTTGAGATTTCTATGTATGTCCCTTTTTACAATATATATATGTCTGTCTATCTATCTATCTATCTATCTATCTATCTATCTATCTATGATCATGTAACTTATCCAAAATGGTCTTTCAATAAAATTATTAAGGTCCTGACATGATAATTAATTTAAGTTAATGTCGCATTAAGTGAAAATACGCAAATTTATCCAATTAATACAGGCTGACCTCTAATCATTCTGGTTTTCCCTTATTATTCTTTGAGTACCCTATTAATTGAAGTAAATTCTACTAATTTGGAAGCGTCAGTCGCATCTTGTTCATACACATTTAATTTATACCAAATTCTGAATCAATCCCCCCCCCAAAAAAAATAATACTGAAATGTGTTAGTCTCATTCAGAGATGGGCTCAAACTCTTTTGGGAATACAGAGATGAATCCTTATGAATGCAGTTTTCACTAAATCCCATTGTATGGCTGGTATAAAAGTTGGTAATAACAGATATGGGAGAAAAAAATACTCTAGTGAAGGCCTAGTAGCACTTTGAGACTTTTCTTTATGTTTGCAATAAATACTATTGATAAAAGATTTGATTCTATCAACTAAGAAACACGTCCTTCTTTATGGAGTATTTCTGTGTGATAGAGAATGGGCTCTGGCCTGCAGCTCATGTAAATTCCTGCCCCTGCCATCTTACCCGGATGTCCTTAAGTCACTTCACCTCTCAGATTAAAGTTCCTTTACCTGAAAGTGTACATCACAAAAAGTGTCTTCATTTCTTCAGGGCATTTGCAGGGAGCAAATAAGGCAATCTATAAGACATCAAGTTATGTGCTATAAAGTCTATAAAATTTCACAAAAATTAGTAGACCAGTAATTCTTACTTGAAAAGAAAAGTACAAGGGAAAAAAATATCTTTCTTCTTCAAACCAAGAAAGGAAGGATTGCTCTCCTCCATCTTTTTACTTTGATTTTTTCTTCAGTGAAAGACCAATATGTAAGTTAGAAACAAGAGAAGTGAAGACAGGGTCTCCCGCTGTTACACATTTCCAAAGTCTCAGTTGTAAAATATGATAATAAGTTATTAATCAATCTTTGTTTGTTTTAGTAGGGTAGCTATTCTCTGTGGAGTTTGTTCAGACTGTATAGGGAAAACCCTTCAGAAGCTCCCATCTGAAGGTTGCAGATGCAAATAATAGGCGGCATTTGTCAAGTTTCCTTCTTGGCCAGCTAAAAAGTCCCCCTGGCTTGGGAGAGCATGAAGTCTTTAGTGAGGATGTCAACAGTGATTTATTATAAGCTGAGTTAATTCTCCCTCAATTTAAAGGCCTTGCATACGACATAATCACTTTCTTTCCCCCCCACAGAGGGAGCTGCTTATTCCATGATTCTCAAGACAGCTTCATCCAGACACTGGCCATGGTAAGATTTCAACTGTTTTCTTTGGAAATTTTTGTTGCGGGGGATGGGCATGGAGTATAATTAGTCAAGTATGGTTCTCACCCAAGAAAGTTTCAATGTGAAAAAACCAAGATTTGTGTGTGTGTGTGTGCGCACGTGCGCGCACACACTGTGAATATATTAATATAACTCTGTGTGTGTCTTTATGAAGCTTAGGAGAGCTTCTTGGCAGCAGAGCAAGGAGAAGTCATAAACCCAGCCTTCTGTAATGTACTAGTTAGACTTTTACTCGATTGAGTTTGTTCTGCTTTTGTTCTTTCTAGGCTCATAAAGAGGTGAAGGAATAGAGGTGAAGGAAATCTGGAGAACGTTCAGAGATGAGCCCAGATAACGTCAAAGTTGGAAATTAAGACCTAAAAGTGATAATCAGGTAATAGTAAACATGGAGAGAAGTGAGCTAACTGGAGATTGTGACATCTTTAATCATATGAACTTCTTAGACACCAGGAATCTGGTCTTTTCCAGTTTTTCTAGAGACAATAAATAAAAGTGGAGAGTTTAAGCACAGTCGTCATGGCTTGGTTTTTACTATTGGGGTAATGAATATTCCTAATCTGCTTTTAAGATTATGATCCTTGTGCTATAAAAGCTTAATGATCGTGCTCTGGACTACTTTAATCTGGAACAAGACAAAAGTGATGATTTCTCCCAGTCTCCATTCTGCACCACTTAAAACGCTCAGTATTTTCTCTAAACACTTTAGAGATCTACTTTCACCCAGATCTCTAAAGGAAGGAGAACTTATCTGAGTCTTTATTCAAAGATTTCTACGTTTAGAAATAAAAGATATATTCTCCTCTACAATGTTTCAGTAGCATCCATTCAATGACAGGAGGTATTTCTCTTTTCTTCTGAAAATATTTTGATTTATGTGGACAGTGGTTTTTCAAAGTCCCTTGACTGCCTCATCCCAGAAGGAAATATCAATATGAAAGAAAAATTGACATCCCTGGTATTGACAAAATCTGTATAACCATTTAAGGCATTTTTAACAAACAGAAAGAAAGCCATTGAAGGCTTAAGAAAATTACAAAAAGTTGAAGAACGCATATCACCGTCCTCCAGCCGGTAGTGTTACCATCTATATTGAGATGTTTAAGCGGGGAAATTGTGAATATAATTTTCAAGTTAAGAGAGCAGCTAAGGCAGGGTTTCTCAGCCTCGGCACTATTGAATTTTTAGGCTGGATCATTTCTATGTTGTGGGGGGATGCGCCTTGAAATGTAAGATGTTTAGCAGTATCTCTGGCCTCTAATCACTTGATGGCAATAGCCTATCCCAGATTCATTCCACACCCACTGCACTCTCTCACCCTGTTGTCAGCAAGTCATCAAGTTGTAACAACCATATATGTCTCTGGACATGGCCACATGTCCCTTGTGGAGCAAAATTGCCCTCAGTTGAGAACCACTTATCTAAGGAGACAGCACTACCCTCTCTGAGTTTGTGACTAAGATACAATGAAAAACTGGGTGCCCAAGGTCATGACAATATTTTTGCCTTGAAACCCTTACATCGACAGTTAGGAAGGTACAGTGAGGAATCCCAAAGAATTGGGAAACGAGGGAAATAGAATTGTCCTCTGAGAGTTAAACCCTAATGTGAGTGTATAGACATGCAGTCATCTAGTTGTTAAATTTCCTTCCTACCAAGCGGAAGTTCATAGCATTCTCTGTTAAACTGAGGCCTAATTTAAAACCTCAAAAGAAGTCCCTAAATTAGGAACACGTACCTAACTTTACTTCTTGCACATGTCTTATCTAAATGGCTATAGAAGAGTCCTATGTACTAAAATCCATTGGGAAGATCTTTTAAACTTCTTTCCCCCATAGCCAATTATAGGCTGGCCATTGGCTTTGCAAAGAAAAGTTACTTGTATACAACGTTCAGACCTGGCATGAAGCTCCCTAATCAGATCTTTGTCTTCATTCTACATCTGGTTTCCCTTCATTCTCAGCTTAAATGTCTGCTCTACTGGGAATTCTGTTTCATTAATAGATTAAACCCCTTCTGATCCATGTTTTCATTATCTCTAAGAGTGTTTCTCTCACTCCACTTCTCTTTGTTCTGCAATTACAGATCGTAATGTTGCCGTCTACCTATTTTCACAGCCTTTTTGTGCCATACTAACCACTTTTAATACTGTTTATATTGTTTTAGAGTTTACTTTTTAGCGTGTCTTACCTCTTGATAAAGTTTCTCTCACTTCTAAGGGCTTGGGTCTAAGAAGTCCAAATATTCTCCCTAATTCAATAGTAAGTTAGCAGCAGTAAAAATTTTAATCTTAAATTACAAAAATAGAGACAGTCTTCACTAGAATGGTAAGATTTGGGGATTGAAGTAGAACATTTGGCATAGGTGCCTTCTTTATTCTAAAAGGAAGAGTTTATGATCCAAAAAGTATGCAATATTCCTCTCCAAATATATTATATATCTAAGTGAAGCCCAAAGCCTAACCATTGTGCTCAATGACAAATGAAAATTGTGCTGTGTGTGTGCTGCTGGCATTGCTTCATCAGAAAGAATCATGGGTGAGTGAGACATTGCTGACACTCCTCTCCTCTGATTTTATGCCCAGAGACTTCCTACTCATATTTTGCAGTAGCCAGAACTGTTCTGCTTACGCCAAAGTTGCTTTTGTTACAAATAATAGAAAATGACTCATTGTAGCTTAGGCTAAAAAGGAAATGTGTTAGAAAGATGCAAGAGTATTGCATATAAATCCAAAGACAGCACGTGTCAGAATTGGAAGAGGCCTTTCAAATTGTAGATGTTTCTTCTCTGTGCCCAGGTGGTTTCTGTGCAGGATCCTCCAGATCTACTCTCTAACCTTTTCCACTCAGCTCCCTGCCCCTGGAGGATGACCTGTATGGATGCTGTCACTTGGTTTTCTTGCTCTCTGGCTACTCGTTGGATTCAGCCAATGGGGAGCCTTGGTAGAAGATTAGAGATGAGGAGGGTAAGATTAGGATATTTGGCGCCCTGCTGTAGATTCACCTCAGTTTACTGCATCTCTCAATCAAAGGCAACATCTTCCTGGAATGAGCAGATCCTTAGGAGGAGTAACTGAAATCTCTCATTTCCAGTTGTAATAACTCCTTCCCCCCTAAACCCTTTAGGCCTAGGGGTATTATTAAACACTGTTAATTAAACCCTCCTCAAATTATCTATATTTGAGTGTGGCGTCTGTTTCCTTCTCGGATCCTCTTCTCTCCTCTCTTCATCTCTTTGTGTCTATTTAAGTCTTTTCTGTGTCTGTGGTCACCTCTCGCTCTCTCTCCCTTTCCCTGCTCTCTTTCTCCCCACACATGAGAGAGAATACAACCCTAATCCTTTTGTTTCTTCTCAGTTCATGTGCCAACAGAACTCAACTTTATAACAGTAATTAGTGGTTTTTAGTATATTCCATTCTCTTTTCTAAACTCTTTAAACGCATGCTTTCATTTAATCCCAATAATAACCCATAGGTTCTGTTATCATGCAATTTTGTAGATGAGGACATTGAGGCACAGAGAAATTGAACAACTTGACTGAGGTCACATACCTAGAGGTAGAATCTTAATTCTAACCTAGGCAGACATATTTCAGAATATATGTTTTTATATACCATTTTTGGTAGTTTGATACTTGGCCTGGACCACCTTGGGTCGAATGTCCAATACCAATTCACTCACAATGAGGTCGTGGTGAGGGGACAAGATATCATGGTTTGCTTCCTAATGAGTTGGACTTTTGGGAGAAAACTCTCTGAATGTTGTATTAGGTGGGGCAGTAAAACTGACAAACATTTATCTCACTAGCCTGACTATGTCAACCATACTTTTTAAATAATCCCTTGAAAAAGTTCCCAGAGATGTTTACAAAATACTGAAACTATTTAAATCCTCTTGCTGTTTGTAGCTATTGTCCTTACATGCCTTAACTCCTCTAGACTTCACTTAGAGCAGATTCAAGGAAGAACCTACCTTATTTAGAATAAAACAAAAAGAATGAAACATTACCTTCTCCTTAAAGTGGAGATTTGATAAATGTCTCCAACTATGTTCTACATTTCCCCCAATGACTTCAGGTCTGGGCATCTTTATTAGATTCCACATGAGAAGCACACAGGCTACTGACACAACTGTTCTACCATTGAGCACTGATGCTTTCAGTTACGTATGACTGAAAAATGAGGACAAAATTAAAATTGTTTTCAGCATTTCACCATTCTATTACCAACTTATACTTTTATACCCAGATATTCTATATAGGCCAAGCCGTAAGATGTTATTTGATCCAAGTCTCTTAAATCTCATTCAGAGTATTTATTATAATGCCGTCATGAAAAGCAGAATGTGATAAATGGACTCTGACCCCCAAAAAAGTATAATCTGAAATAATATACAAGAAGGTGTGTCCTAAGATTTTTTTTTTATTTTATACCTATGTAGTTTTATATAGCTTTAAGATTAGTTGAATATATGGCTCTACTGCCATAGAAGATAAAAAGAAAGCCATCCTCCTCCATAAGGATGACATAATCTTACAATTGTATTCCAAGAGTTGCTTTAGAGAGCAGTGGAAACTAAAATTCTCTACAAGAAAGAAAAACTCAAAACCATGACTTTCTTTAATAAAACACGTATGCATCAAAAATAAATTATCCATTTTTTTCTCTGATTACTGTTTTCGTATGTAATTAACATGATACTACCTTTACATTTCTCTCCTGGGGAGCTAGCACAATGAATTTTAGAGAATGTCTTTTATTTATCATTGTGTTTTCAGCACCTAGTATAGTGCCTTATACACAGTGGATGACCAATAATATTTGTTGAATGAATAAATGAAGTGTAAATGTGAATAAAAATATAATATCTCTCATATGTGCTTGTCTTGGACCATTTCCTGCCTCAGTGATGATGGATATACCATGAAAATTATATCACAAAATTTGAAGATATTTCATTAATTTCCCCATGTTGAGTAAAATCTGAAGTTCAGCAAAGAGTGAGATGATGTTCTTAGTTGGGGATTTTTGGTATTGAAAATATGATATTCTTGTTTGGGATCAGACCTGGAAGTCATGGGTAATGCATGATTACACCATTATCAACAAGGTGAAATTTCCCAAAGATGATGAAACTGTGCAGACTTATTCCCTTATCTCCTAAGAGAAGATGCTTATACCAACTTGTAACAAGATGAAAATGACACATACTGCAATAGTCTTATAGTGAGGATGATACTAAACGTTTAGCCACCGACAATTAACTGAAGATAGGGGAAGACATGAGGAAGGACACAAGAGAAGTTGTTCAGGGTTATGAGAGAAAATTGGTGGTGTGGGGATTACCATACCATATAAAATGCAGATCCTCTGTACTACTGGGACCTTGGCTTGGTAGTGGCCCATGCCAAGTTTTTTAAGCAAAGAGGGTCACATGGTAGTTGAGTGA